TTCAGCCTCAGAGCACAGAAAGTCTGCGGTTACACGCTGTGCTGCAGAAGGTAGCAAGTTCAGTACAGCCAGGACTGGGTTTCTGCTATTACAAAATGAGGAACTCTCTTGTGCTTTCTTTATTTGAATGCATTCTCTATTCAAATAGGGATTTGGGGATAGGAAACATTTCTCTCAGAGATATCAAATGATCACTATGCAGCGTACAACAGCCTCACTGACTTGATTTCCATTAAAGAAAAAGAATCGGGTTTGCCAGATGGTAAACAAAGGGACACACACAGAGACACATCATCAGATGGTGCAGATCAGCGTGGCTCCACTGAAGTCATCCACTGAAGATCTGGTCCCTATATGCTAAATAATTATTAAGAGTCTTAACCCTAGTAAAAGAAATCAAAATAAAATTAAACTGTTAAATTACACAGCTGTTCCCTTTCAGACAGAAACCACTGCATCTCTTGGAACAGGGTTGTCCAACTGGGGTGGGCACAAGGGGTTACTACTTGATCCCTGGGCTCCTAGCCAGCTGCTGCTCCCTGTTTCTCTGGATGCTGCTGCAGCCTGGGTCTCCAGACTCCCTGCTCCTGCTCCAGGGGCAGTGCAGCTCAGAGCACCAGGGGAGCACATGGCACAGTGCAGTGGGGAGCTGAAGTGGGGGTCGTGTGCATGTGTGTGTGTGCGCACGTGGAGCGGGGAGCAGCGGGGACGAGCCCGGGACCGTGGCTCATGTAGTGCGGCCCATGGGGCCACGGAGAAGCTGGACAGCCTGCCTTGAAGCACGGTAAACAAGAGCTTGCCTTTAACACAGAAGAAGTTTTTAAGAGCCGCACACTTTATCCAGCTGTTTATCAAAGCAGCTTTTTCATCCCAGACTCGTGTTAGATTTGGAGGTCAACCTGTGTTTTTTTTAGTATTATAATTATTAATTTGAAACATGACAAGTTCCCCAAATGGCTCCTCTTTCTCTTTGGCTTTTTCTTTGACTGTATTAATTTCAATTCAGTCAACTGCAAGGTTACATAACAGTTGTTTATAATTGCTGTCACGTCAGCCCTGAGACTGATCGCTATAGCTCTGAAGTTACATAAAGATTGGTTGTTCTTTTTTCAAATTGCAGGAAAGATGAAGTCCAAACTTGGAGGGATGTTTTTGTTTTTTAAAGCTCTGCTGTCTATTATGTAGTGCCTCAATGCCATCTTTCTGTGGAGTCTTATTTTACACAGTACATGGATCTGTTTACACACAAGAGCTCACCAATCACATATGTCCATGAACCCCTTTAAAAGCTCAAAGTTCAAGGGTACTTGAACACACTGCACTCAAATAAAAGCAAGTCAGGGGAGATACTGGCAACGATAAGCCCCAATTCAGCAAAGCTCTTCAGGACGTATAGTGGACTCCATTGAGTGCACAATCCCTTGGCCTCCCAAAAGCACTGACTTTACCAGAACTCAGTGTGAATAATGCTAATTTCCCGCATGAACAATCCACTAAGCCTTTTGCACCTTATTGGTACTCAGCACTTTACTTCTCAAAATCTTGTGCCTCAAACAGCAGCCTAAATTTTCGACAGGACCCAGTCAGCTTGCTTTAGAAACCTTGAAATTGCCAACCCCAAACCAGTTTCACTGATTAGACAGCTAAAGGGATTACATTTACAACAGTGCGATCAAGATTCCTGATACACTTACAAGTGTATGCACTTAACTCACACACAGATGACCAATGTTTGTTTGAAGATAAGGTACAGGCAATAGGTGCCATATTAGGCAGTAAAGCAAGTTGCGTGGTTTTCTGATCTGCATTTTCTGGGCCAAGACTAGATACAAGAACAAAGAGAAAGATGTTCCCAACTGCAATCCACTGGCTTACTTTCCCAGGAAGCCCACCCGACAGCATGAAACCCCATTGCTTTCTGTGGGGAACATCGTTTCTTAGAACTATCCCTGCTGAAGTTCAATGTAGACGTGTGGGCCCTCTCCCCCAGCAGAAAAGCTTACTATAGAATATAGGCAGAGAGCCTTGTTGGAGACAAATTTGTGCCTCAGCTGAACTCACTTTCTTTCGCCAAGCTTAGGAAAAACTCCTAAAGAGGAGGAGGAGGAGGAGGGAATCAAAGTAGTAATAGTAAGAGCAAGGTATTGGATAGATAGTTCAGCCTCTGGAAAGCTCTTAACTCTTTTCATGACAACCAGAATCAATAAAACGTACAGCAACACCACCTGTTTCTTTCAAGAACATTTTCTTTGGCAAGGGAAGATTTAGACAATTCCACACATTGTGGAAATCATTCACATTCCTAATGAATGCACATATGCAGATTCTGTGTGTGTGAACCTGTATTGAGGGTGGTGTAGCTTGTTGCGAGAAGGAGCTGTTCTGATTTCTTTACTAGGTCTTTGATTTCAAATAATGTAGGCAAGAATGTAGGTCTTCCAAAAGAGAACATATGCACCCGGTTGCATAAGATGGGACAGCCGGTTTAACAGGGCCAGCAAATTAATTCGCCAATACACTTCCACCACTCATACAGTTAGCATTAGCATTATATGAAGAACAACTAAATTCAACTTAGGCAGCTCTACACTTAATAAGTACTGGACGCTAGCCCCTGAATCAAACATAGAAATAGAGTGCATGGCTGAGTATGTGACAGCTTTTGCTGTAAATTCATTAACCTTGCACTTTGAAAGAGAGTTCACATTTTTTGTTAGACCAGAAGCAAACAAGTTGCCATGGAGCCCCATTAATAAGTGAACTATGATGACCTGTAGTTTTTGCTCAAAAGGTAGCCAGGGCTGGTGCTATGCAGGTCAGGGTTGATCTCTTGAGCTGTTTAGTGCAAGGGGGTAACAATAAAGCTGGGAAGAAGGAATTCCCCAGGTTGTAACCCTACCTGTGACAAAGACGCCCACACCTTTGGACCAGTCACTTGCTCATTGAATACCAGCAGCAAAAGGAAAATGCTTAGATGTCATGAATTGATGCTCACAGCAAATAACCGTATCACTATGATCAGTGCTCAGAAGACATATACACTCTGCCTGTGTGGACTAGGACTGGCTTAAGCAAACACCCCTTAGCTAATTCACCTACTTCGGCCTTGTTATCCCATGGAGAAGACAGGTCCAGTGGTAGTTAGGGAGCTAGCCAGGGACTTGGAGGAAGTGGGTTCAATATCCCACTTTGCAACATACTTCCTTTGTGACCTTGGTCTCCACCTCTGCTTCAGTTCCTCATTGGTGTAAAAATTACTCTCCCCTATCCCACTGGGGAATTGAAGGATGCTCAGACCGTCCGATGAGGGGTGCATACAAGTACCTATACTCATGACGAGTACATTGATAGGGGACTGTTACAGAAATTTAGACATACACTGGGAGTGTGGACAGTAGTGATACATTTGGATTCTGAGAACAGGCAAATTCAGCATGTTAGCTCTGTGACAGGATTGTTTGTACACGGTATTGTATTGGTTTGGGGCATGTGACACTTTGTTCGGGGTCACTGTACTGTCCCCCTCCCAAATGAATGACTTCGTAGGCGCTAAAGTTCTCTCTTACTCAGGAAGCAAGACCAGAAACATTTCAAAGTCGCCAACTCAAAGTTAGTCTGAGCAAAACCTGTAGGAAAAACCTCCCATCTCAATTATTGTTGCAATAAAATACAACAAAGATTTAGTTAAGATCTTCTAAAAGGAAAGTAAGAGCATGGAATATGTAGAACCCAAACCACTTAATCATCCAATCTGAGGCTCAACATGACTGCTTACCCAGACTCTGGAATCTCACTGGCTTTTCCATTTACTTTTCTAATTCAATTTTCAGATGCTGAACACATCAAGGATTGGATTGCTAGGTTATTCATATTTGGCAATCACACCAGCCTATAACAGGAATGGCAAATATACAGGTTTATGGGTAGAGTTTTAAACGTTTTAGCCAAGCAATTACAAAACTACTGCCTTGTCACTTGTTTCCAGCTCCATACAAACCCTGCCAGGTTTCAGCTCAGCCAGGGAAAGGTGGATCTGCTAGAGGCAGCCTGATTTAAATGCAAAAGTTGACAGAGATGGTAGAGTTCAAGTCCCCTTTCTTTAATACTCCCCTCATAGATAAACTGAGCTCCAATCAGAGACACTGCACTGCTGTTTTAAACATCTGTTTTGACTAATCTGGATATGCTGGTTTCCACTGGCTTTCCATTAGAACAAGCCAATTCAAAAGGGAGCTCCCACCTCCTTTGGCAGAACACAAGCCAGAAGAAAGCAAGAGCCATTAACTAAGGGAAACGTTGCACATATTGGAAAGTCAAAGGGTGTCAGGTACTTTATTCTTAATGCCCTTTACTCATGCAACCTGTAAAATCACCCACTATTACTTTGTTTAAATGTACCCTGTCTGTCTAGAAAGGACTTGGACACACTGGGCACGTCTACACAAGACATTTACTGTGGAGTTGCCTAAGGCTGGAGTAAATTAATAAACTTTGCAGCAGGTTAGTACTTGTAAATACAAATACTATTCTACAGTGGAGTTTTTTGTACTCTACAGCAACACGCAGGTAGATACTGAAGGGGCTAGCTGGGGCATGAGGGTGCTTCGGTTTGAGGGCTGCCTGCCAGCTAGCTCCGCACTGACGCACTCTTGTGCCCCAGCCAGCCTCTCCGCAGCATGCTGAGCTGGGTCAGAACAGCCCCGGGCTGGCAGGCTGACCCCCTGGACCTCTTGCCAGCTGGGGCTGCTCCGACCCAGCTCAACGTGTTGTGATCAGAGGCGCACATTCAAACGTGGTGCCCGGAAGCAATAAACACTGGCACAATATGCACAAGACAGCTCCTACCTTACTTAATTTCTTTGAGCCAAAGCCAGCCCTAATGTCAGAGCCTGCAACTGGACTGAGAGAATTGCCCCAGTCCACAACAAAGCTGAATCTGGTTGTCTGTCTGTACTGTAAGACATACCGGTAGGGTTAAAAAATGACACAGAGCAAGTATGTACTCCATAAAACATTAATATTTTAATGAAAAATCTTAGCTTTATGTTTCTATCCAAAGACACTCAAAACTAGTTTTTCTCCCCACTTATTTTTGACCTATAACGTGACCAATTTGGAGATTTTTTTGTATTTTAAAACAGTTTTTTTTTAAAGATTAAACAACCAGGCTAGCAAAAAGGTACCCAATACATACTTTTCTTATATCAAACAAGCTAGTATTTCAGTACAATATAACTATACAGAATATATACATTACACATATGATCACAAAGCAAACACTACAGGCTCAGAACAGATTTGAAAAAACATGATATTCACATTGATTACAATAACTCTAAAAATGATTGTAACGTTGAAACGGCACTTAGTTTACAAAAAAGATCACAAAAATATATATAGCCACCAAGAACTATGGTTCCTGAAAAATACTAATAGCCAGATAGTATTATATAAAATGTGAAGTGTATTTAAACATCGTATACATTAAAAACCAAAACCAAAAAACAATTCTGTTAAGTCAATAAACATGCCAAGTAATCTAGCTGTGGCCAGCATCAACAAGAGAAGCTGTACTGTGTATGAGATGACAACTGGATATACGGCTGGTGACTGGAGACTGGCACAGTTAAGGGGGTTGCACTGTTACTAAAATGCACAAAGAAGCCCAACGATAATTTAATTCACATTTTTCCTCCATCTTTTACCCTCTCCCCTTTCAAGAGTTCCACCAAAGGCCAGTGCCCAGAGTCAAGGCACTGCAAAAGGAGGGTAAAGAAGCCACCCAGGACTTTTTTGTAGCCAGGGCTATAGTCAGAATATCAACAGCATGCATCAGTGAAACAAAATGGTCAGTCAAAAATCACTCCTCTGGGGATTTTAGCAACCCTCAGGAAGACTGGTTACAGTGTCCACACAGGCTGGCAGCACCAGAAACTGATTCAATTTTCTCTTTAGTGTAATCAGATCTGCACGTGAGCCCTGTGGGGTACTGAATTACTGTGGTAACACATACTGAGTTAACAAAAACCCAGAGCTTCATTTGAACAATTATCATTGCATTACAAAAATTCACATTTGTTTTATGGTATAGTCCCTATGGAAATTCTGCACCAACTCTATTTGCTGGTGATGTGTGATGTGGCTGATGCACAGCCTGACTTTGATCATCTTCTTTGTGAATAAGATGCTATGGAGCTGACTATGCCTATAACGAGCTGAGAATCCTCCAAAACTGGGATTTCCTTTGTAAGAAAAATACAAAGTGAAGTTATTTGAATGGAGTTTGATATTCTTTATGCTGATGGGGTGAGAATAGCACTTTCTGCTGCCTGCCACAGACCTAGGACCAGAGGTTGCTCCTAAGCAAATCTACACAGGTTGCACAAAGCCACAGCTCTCCCAATGCATGTAAGACGCTACAGGACATTCAGGATGTGTCCTAAAAAGAGGCTGGCAATAGTCTTATGCTCTAATGTCCTGGGGCTGGACTGGAAAACAAGCAACCAAGTAGTGATCGAAGCCCTCATAAAAGAACTTAAAACCACATCTTAAAAACGATAATATTTATCCTGTGAGGAACACAAGGATTATAGTTTTATAAAATATATTTTTACTGCACTGGCAGCTATTACTTTTTATTTTAAAAAGCTGTAATTCACACCTTCTAGACTCAAGATACACATGAACCCAGAACCATATTAAAAGACCTAGTCAAACTAATCTCTCAGTATGAGAGACTCAACCATTTCATCTGCCAGTCAGACAACCCAAGTCAAACCATAGTGAGAAAGCCAAGCCACTGGGAATATGATGCTTTTTAACCACGTGATAAGGAAAAAGACGTGTTTGTTGCAGGGAACTGACACTCCATACAATACCTGCAGGAAGCTTAAGCTCCTCAATGAGAAAGTAGCACCTTGGATATCAATGGAAGCTGTGCGTGCATGTATGCATCCCAACAGACCACGACCTGCCCCAATGCTGACCTAGCACAGCTGAAACAGCCACCCCGGCTCCTTCTCTCTGTGTGTGAAAGGGCAAGTCTGTCTGTCCCTTCTCCAAAGTCTCCTATTCGGTAGGGTTTCTCCTCCCCTCCCTTAACAGAACTATCCTACACAATATGAAGAGGATAAAGATCCAGTACAGGTTCCCAGAATTTCACAGAAAGGTAAGGCTGGAAGGGACCTCAAGAGACCATCTAGTCCAACCAGGGATTGAACCTAGGACCTTGGTGTCATTAGCACCACATTCAAGCAACCAAGCCGATCCTTCTTGCCCCCAAGCACAGAACCATTCACTCTCTGGCAGCTGAGACCCTGCATTTGCAAGTTAGCAGCAGAGGAAACGTTTTCTCTCTAAATGTGCAGAGTACTGCTGGACACAAGAAATATATGCAAAAGGCAGTCAAACTACTTTGTGAATACATCTAGAGAATATGCACCGTTTTAAAAGTTGCTGCAATGGATTCTATCGCTTTCAGGAAACAAAATTCCCTCTATTGGAAAGCTATTAAATAACTTACTCGTCAATGAAAATACAAATGCATTCCTAAGAAAAAAATTTATGGGAAAAACAGTACAGGAATCAAATGTTGGCATTCATGTGTTGAATGGAATTTATGTATTAGGCTTAATCCCTTGTGTTGTCTAAGGCACACTTCTTTCAGCTTACTTAGGCATTTAGCTTGTTCAGTCTGGAATCTAAATATCCAGCAGTAAAGCCTGATTTAAAATGCTCTAATATTTTACCTCTCCTGTGAGAGGTATTAGCACTCCAAAGAACTATGCATTTCCAGAATGTCAAAAAACAGAAAAATGAAACAAGATTTATATTTCATTTGTATTCAATTCTTTGGAGAAGTGACACAAGCTAACAGGAAACAATTACAAATGCCAAAAAACCAAAAATATTTATTGCTCTGACTAAGAGTGAACTGTACTGTTCCCTCGATTGACTCAGAGATTTAAAATAGTGAAAAAATTAAGCTTTCATGCCAACATTAGGGGTTTTGGTATGACAAGGTAAAATACACTGCAGTGAACAGTGGGCCAATGACTCACCTGGCACTGACAGTAACTATACTCATGTCTTTCTCTGGAAGAACAGGTTAAAGCTATAATAGTCCTTGTAGTAGGTTTTCATGCATTCTCTATGGTATTCAGAAAGTAGTTTATCGTCTGATACAAAATTTATCTAAGGTGCACCTATTTTGCATTTGCACATCTCGCAATCATTATGTGTTGTGACACATTTTTTACTGGGTGGAAACCATCTGTTTGTGGCAGAAGGAATAGGTCCAGCCATGTTTGAGGCGATAAACAATTCATTACACATTATACTCATGGGACATCTGGAAAGTCTGAGTGTGCATATCTACCTAACTGTTTTTTGTATTATGACTAAATAAAAATTCCCACGTATGTGGACGAAAGACACCACACACATGAATTCAGTACCATACCCCTAACAGTCAAGATAAAGTAGGAAATGGGGAGAGAGGAATTTCAGCATGTATTTTTTTTGGGTGTTCATGTTTTTTTAATTACAGAAATTGAAAGTGGAAGAGAGGTGGCCTTTTGATTCATCCCTTTCAACAGATACTGGGCTATTTCTTGGCACAGTACCTTGAAAAAAATTATTTTCCTTCCAACCTCTTTAGAAAAGACTTAAGAGTTAGATACACAAGATGAACTGCAGCCGAGAAATTCTCTGCAGCACATTTCCTAAAAAGCCTTCAGATCTGACAGATAAAACTTAGCTTTGTAAGGTGGAAAAAGCAGAATCTCAAATGCGTGCGTTTTGCTTAACATAATAGAGAAAACTTGTTAAATGTCTGTTAACGCTGAAGCCTTTTAAAATCATACCAGAATGCAGTAAGCTAAATCTTGATAAATGTAGAGTTTGACATCAGTGTACATTTTACAGATCTACAGAAACATTAGAGCTGCCTACCTCACCATGCAAATCAATCTTGTGATCTAACCTTTGCACCTCCTCACTGGTTCTTCAATATCAACCTTTATGCTTCTTATTCGATTTGATGCTTGTGTGAGAGGGACTTAATACCAAGAGCATCTGACCCATGCCCTTGGAGTAGTAGGGTCAGGTAATGCTTATTCTGAGCATGCCATGAGTTGTAGGGACAGCTCTTTGTGCATCAAACCAGAATTAATTAAATCAGCAGCCAAAAAAAAATCTTAGAAATTTAAATTAGGAATTGTTTTAAGTTTACTATAGTTCAAACTGCCTGCAACAAAATGAGAATCACTGCTTTGAGAATCCCATGGTCTAAATTTATAGTCTTTTCTAAATCAGGAAAAATGAAATTGCAAATCTTTCAATTTATTGCTTGCTTGAGCTGTGCATGTAGCTGGAGTAATGGCCTTTAATAAACCAACTTGGCAAGGGTTTAAAATGTTTTGGAACAGGAACAATTTATCATTGCTATATAGGCTTTTTGTAAACAACCCCCTGTTGGGTTAGAAAGTTGGCCTCTAAAGTGAATAAATTGCTTGTTTTGTCCAAAATAGGCTAATAAAAGTCCCAGAAAGTATACATGCATATGTATAAACATAAAAGTGTACAATAACACAGAAGATCTCATTTTTTCCCTTCCGTAAACTCTCTCTAACCAGCACTTGGAGATTAGTGAAAAAGAAACATAGTGAATGCAATAAAGGAAAGTGTCTAAGACTGCAACAGTCTAGGTAAGGTATAAGAATTTTAGTTGGGAAAACTTTCATTTTTTCAAACGTGGCTCCCTTTATCACAAGACACAGTAATGAGATATTTGTCAGGTTTGAATGGATTTAATACCTTTCAATCACCTCCAATTCATTATGCATCATTAGCTGTTTCCTGACAGAATATTTCTATGCCTTACCCCATATAAGCAAATTTGGGTAGGCTGTTTGAATGAGCAGTTTCTAAAAAGAGTGGAATATCTTAAGTAGGAGTACCTGGCTTGACAGAACTGAATTTGTCAAAACTGATTCAGAGATTGTAACAGGGACAATGCATTTTTAATAGGGTGGTACTGGGACTTTCAGAAATGCTTACCATACCCCCAAAAAGGGAGCTACAGTAAGCGCTTTGAAAAACAGCAGGCACAAAGATGGGAAGTGTCATATTATAAAATAAGGATTAAAATGTCCACTCATAACTTAGTTAAAAGTGATTAGCAACTGATTTCCAATGCGTCCTTGTGTTTGCCATTTTAAAACAATGTCCTCTGTTTTGTTTTATTTTCCATTTTACCAGAGGGTCTGCAGAAGCATGAGAAACTTAATGAGCTGTACTGACTGCGGAAAGAGAAACGATTAAAAGTTATTCGAATTGGTTGGTTCTTCTTTAGAAGTGTATCACAGTTTCTATGAAGTTCTGTCAGGATCTTTTTGTGCATTCAGTCTTAAGTATTTTCACAGAAGTGATTATTCAGTCATGAAAAATAATGTAAAATCTGTTGCAGTTTTCTGTTTAAAGTGTAGCTTACAAAGTAAAAAGGGAAAATCTCCCCACTTTCATTTTAAAAAATTAAATTAAAATGTACAGGACCAAACACAGGCACTTTCCAAAGAACAAATATGTAACCAAACCAAGAATTATTCAATAGTAATTGATGACAGCTCCGATTTCGGGGGGTCACCTGTGGCTGCCTCAGCACTGGCATTAGTCTTTGGCTGCTCTGGCACGTCTTCCTCCTTCTCTGCCAACCCACCCAGAGACCCCAAGGGGAAAGTGCTTTCACAATTCTGAGTCGACGAGACCTGTGAAATGACAGGCATTTGGACTGAGGAGTTGCTTTCAAAACCATGCTCTCCTAGCTCATACTGCCCAAGGGTCTCTTCTTGTTCCTGGTTTAAGTAGTCCGGTACTAGGAAATCACTAGAGAGGGGCAAAGGACAGAAGAGAATGTTATTTTTTTTCAAAGAAACACCAGATACAGTTTTGCTCCCCACTGCATTGCATAGGGAAAAAAGTAACTAGTATCACACCGTGCCAACATGTTAATAAGGACATGCTTCAGTAAGTGTTCTTAACTTAGTTCTAGTTTACGATGACAGAGAAGTTATACTAGGATACCTATGATTTTGCACTGCTTTTACAGCCGTACTTCCTGCAAGGCAACTTCATACCTAGGTTTGAGCCCCCTGATAAGGATGAGAGTTCACGGATACTGAGGTTCTGCTTTTAGTGCTAGGGAAGGTGAGGGTCTATCCAATCTCTGCAGCGGGAGGTGGGAATGCCAATGAGTTCTCAACAGCCTTCCCTTTTAGGGGAGACGGGCTATCAACAAAAGTAAAGAAGGATAAGGAAGAGCTCTCAGGCTTGGACTATGGGACAACAGTATGCCAACAGCAAGCAACAAGCAGAGAATAACCCCGAGTGACACCCACTGCACCAAGTCGAGGTGAATGTCCAACAGCCCTGGAGACTGAAATCAGTGGAACAGCACTGACAACAGGTCAAACTTCCCTCATGCTGCCTTCACAGTGATTCAGGAGGACTCCTCTGGGGACACTGAGGCTAGTTCTGCTTCTGTGGTTAACCTGGTAAACTATGACTAAGGTGCCAGCTGTGAAGATGTTTTTCATACTGCTGACACCTATCCTGTTACTAAACAGAGGACTGAACTTCATTTTCTCCCCAGTCATCCATTCATGGTGTGTTTTGGCACAACAGCTCTATAGATAATTGTCAGCAGCAGGGTGCTGAAATGTGCTCAGAAGAAATCTATTGAAAACCCATTACCAACATTTTCAGAGCACAGGCTGAGAGCATGATGAGAAGTTTTTCTGAGGATGTTTGACATCAGATATATTTGTGCGTGAAGCCCCTGCCTACAGCCAAAGCAGCAGAGGCACGCTTGAGTTTTAACGTGCAGTCCACTGCAAAAGGAGTGGATTCTACATCAATGGTATCTGAGATTCAATACCCTTTTTTACTTCTGCATGAGAGGACGTGCATTCCAAATCTAACGGGCAACAGGATAATCCATCTATCCTACCACGTCAATTGGCATTTTCAAACTAAGAAGAACAATACATTGCTAAAAGGAACATGTTTTAGTCTATCCAACAACAACAACAACAACAAAAGAATATACCAAACACCACATCATCTTGGCACAGGCACGTTAACTCTAGCACAAGTGGCACCCTCCCAGAACTGTACACTCCAGCAGGTATTGAACCTTTGTACTTTTCAGATATGTGTATTTTAGGGGAAAACAGTTGACAAGCAAATATTTCCTGATTGCCGATTATTTTGAATTCTTTGGTTCTTCACCACTTGGATAATAACCAAATGTAACAAAAGTGCTGAAACCTTATGTACGACAAAAACGATAACATCTAGAAAATGCCTCAGCTCATCACTGGGGAACTTTAGTTGCTACAATATTATGAATAAATTTACAATGGGTTTATTTAAAAACCTCAGTAAAAAGCCAACTTTATACATACACTCTGCCTTGTGAAGGATTTTTTTTTTAAATGTAATTTGTTCCCAAGTTTTACCATTTGATGGTACTGAGGTCTCTCCCCACCCCGAGTTCTCTTCCTTCACTTTCATTTTTAACCCTCTATTTTTAAGCCAATTTTGTTCTACCTAAACAACAAGAAATGTGCAGTAGGTCTACATGATCAACAGGACATACATCTTAAAATGTGATTTTTTACTGGTTAATAATCCTAGAAAGAAGAACAGTGAAGATATGATCATCTAGAGTCACGCAGTCTCACACCAGAATATCCTCCCCTTGATAAAAATTACTAAAATAAAATCAGTGAACGTCTCTCATAATCGACAAGCCAAACCTTTTCATATATTGCCATCAAATTATTTATAAAATCCCACAAACATTAGTAGAGAATGTTATACTTAGCATAAACTTCCTTATGATTATTACAGGAAAAAGAAGGAAGGAGCCTAGTCACCACAAAGAAACCTGTACATATAACTGGATACTTCAATGCTTAGAATACAGGTTACACACACTAAAAAAGCAGATCAGAGATAACAGATAGTGGTGCAAGAGTGAATGTGACAGCAATTAGCTGGCAACCTGATGAGAGGCGCAGCAGGCTGCCCTGAAAGCAGGAAGAGATGGTTTAGAAAAAGCAAGTTTCCCCTGTTAGATTTTTGTTGTGCACCTCACCTGCTCTGGAAGTAGTTTGCTAGCTCTGATGCTTCATGGTTCAGACTCCGCAGGTGAACGATTAAATTTCCAGAGTTGGTGAACATGGCGCCACATGTTTTGCACTCGTAAATCCGAGGCTTGCGGATAATATGCCGGGAAACCCGCATGTGGTGTTTATATTCCCCGAAGGAAGTGAAAGTGGCACTACATATCTGGCACCGGAAACAGCGTTTACCTTCGTGCTTCAGGCGATGCATCTTTAACGAGTAAGCTCGGGTGAACTTTTTCCCACAACGGTCACACTGAAATGGTTTAATGCCTACAGGGAGAGAGGGGAAAATATATGCTTTGAGAATCTTTTACACTCCCTAATGACCAGAAGGACAGCAGTCACAGCTGGGCAGATGAAATTCTGATTTTAGAGAGAACAAACTGATTAACCATTAAGAGACAGAAATGATTAGCATGAAGTTGCAATTTCTCAGAATCAGCCCAGAAATCCTTATAATGAATAGGTCCTTCTTAGTTCTTATGCAGTCTTTCTTCCTTATAATTTAAATCAGTTGAGGCTTCTGTAGCTCAGAAACTAAAGTAAGAACTAAAGTGTGTGGTGCAGTAGTAGCCTTAAACCACTTATTGCCCATATTCTTCCAAGCTCAAAAGAATGCATATTTAAGCTACCCTTGGTCAGTGCCCACCAGTGGTGCCAGTGAGCTGGTCTGGAATTAGGGGATTGCCTGAACATAGAGATGTCCCAATTCAGCACAGGAGGCATCAGAGAAGTAGTATACAGCAGGTCCACACCATCTGAGAAAACCTCTCTATAATAAAGTGATCTTGTGAGGGCCAGGAAAGGAAGCCTTGGCATGCCTTGCAGAGCTAAAGGTGCTCAAGAGTTGCCCTTCAAGCTTAGGATCTGGCCCTTAGTGTTTCACCTATATCATATATCCAGTGTTGAGGTCTTGGCTCCCACCTCTTTTGTCATTTACAGAAAATACGCATTTCAAAGTGAAGACATGGTACTGAAAGAAACATTTGCTCACTAAGTAATCACATCACAGCCAGGATTACTACAATACAAAAGGTTAAACCACAAGAAGGTCCCAATAAAAGGTTTGAAACACAGGAATTACGGAAATTCAGAATTCAAGCCAATAATCTGGAAGTCAGATCTCAAATTCATACTAGTTCAAAAGAAAATATAAATATTCAAAGGGCCTGAATTAAGGATGAAGCACCACAGACCAGGCTAATTTTACTCATCTATACCTCTGCTTTCCTTATGTTAAAGTGAAACTCTTTAATTTTGGCTTCCAAAATAGCAAATGCTATAGTTAAGGTTACACTGAGGCTTTTTATAAACCTGCTTTCACATGGTTAACATATGAAAGTGCTGTCCCTTGAGACAGAAACTTTCCGTGGTTGCTTTCTGCCCCAAAGCATCCATTTTCTTGGAAAGTATGAGAAATAAATCTCTTTAGTCGTTTCAGTTAAGTTAAAATACTTTCAGTATTTAAAATGTTTAAGTTGTTTTTCCACACAAATAACTAGTAAAAACATCTCTCTAATTTTGCATTTGAGACTTACTGTGGGACTGCTGGTTACTGGACCAACCTAAAATATTTCATACATGCTTGACGGATGCTGGTTAGGACTCCTACACCTAGTTGGGACAATTTAATAAGCAATATGCATAAACAGCCTGTTTTATTAAAAGTGAAGTACTGAAAAACTAGATTAATGGGTCATTACTTCATATCTAAAATCACAAAATGGCCATTTTGGTTAAGAGCAGTAGCAGTTCTTGGTCTGGTCACTTGCCTGAGAGAAGATAAAATGACAACGAAAAAACTGGGGATCACAATCAATGTAAATAGGTAGCTCTGACACAAGTCTTGTTGTACTGCACTGACTGAAATCACTTAGTTTATTAGGAAACAGGTTTCTACTAACTCTCTAAGAGTTAGGAGGTACAGGAGGATATAACTGTATCTAAATCAGACAGGCATGATTAACAGTGTCGCTGGTCAGTATTCTTTTCAATGCGAGTTTTCATAAACATCAGCAGACAGTTATAACATCCCAAGGACTTCCCGTCTAGGCAACTGATTTAGTATAAAAAAAAAAAGCCAATGTAACAGAACATCTGAAAGCCCTTACATTAAAAGGCATCTTGGGTGTGCCTCAAACCTCTAGTTTTATTCCGATAACTACTTCAATTAATATTTTTAAAATCCACACACAGTTCAAGCATTGTGACAGATCTCACCAGATGTCATTTAGCAAAAATAGTATGCAGACAACTAAGCTAATCTCAGATTTTGGAGACTTCTTCCCCCCTCAAAAGGGGGATATAAAAAAAACCTCCTTCATGTGTGCACACAGAACATCAATTAAAAACATTAGTTCCACACCTGCTGCACAACCAAGCAAGCTCCCTTGGGTGTACGTCCTACTTATTCATGGAAACAGTGATGTTTCTTACCTGAGTGGATGAGCATGTGCTGTTTTAAATTCTGAATGCGGGTGAATCGGACCCCACAGGTCGGACACTGAAAAGGTCTATCTGGGCCATTTGGGCTGGGTCTCTCTGTGCTGCTGGTAGAAGGAGCAATGTAGAGTTGATAGGGATACTGAACGTTCTCCAAACTAAAAGGAAAAAATTCACTCATTTACAAGCAAGCTGGAGAAAAGTGGAGGTGGCTTGTCCAAAACAGCTTGAACTTCAAATCTGTTTGTACAACAAGAAAACATGATTGTCCTGTTTAAGCAACAAGTATTGTTTCCATTTATATTAAATTGTATGGATGCTGAAAGCATCTTCCTGAAAAACTACTAATCTGAGCCGCCCTGGAAGTTTCATGTTCACTGGCTTGCCATTATGGCTAGAAATGGAAACGGGCCTCTGATTTGTTTGATTAGAAATGGTTTTTGAATATCAGTTGCACAACCTACTTTACATTTGAGGTACGCATCCTCTTCCAAAGGTATGCAACTAATTGCAACTGGAAAGCGTACCCGTAAGAATTCTTCTTCTGGCAAGCTAGGGAAGCAAACAGTAATTTATTTTGTAGTTTCAGTGACATTTTAAAAAGGAAACTGAGGCAGAGAGCCATTTTTAGCTCAGGTCAGATTTTATGATCGATGCAATCATTTGCAAATGTTATGTAGTACATATACACAAGCTCAACCTATCAGTCTGCCAGCATGCAGTAAGATAATAAATGTCATTATTTCATACTGGCTATTTGGTTGATTCAGTCCTTTGCATGACAGGAGTTGTGTTAGGAATTTAAAAACTGGCAAACTGGTTATTAGGTTGGCAAGTAAAAAGGAAAGGAATATTTTATCTTCAGAGAAATAAGTTACATGAAATGGACTATATACTTTCATCCATTCAGACTATTAAAACTGGGGAGGGAAGAAAGGGACTATAATGTTATAATCTGGCCTTCAACTTCATATTTTCTTCCTTGTAGACAGGACTTAGTCACTTAACTATAATAGGAAATGTATTTGTATTTCCCTGAAAATTTCCTTTTTTCAAGCAAATGAGGCCCATAAATATGTCAGCCTGCTCACAGTCTGGGACAGAACCTAACCATCACTGGGATGCCCTGTGCTGTGAAATCCTCTCCAACTGAGACAGCTTCCACAGCCAGGATAATTCAATTTTACTTTTCTAAATTACACTGTATTAAATAAACCCTAAGGAAAAAGCACGGCAAATTTTCCTACTACAGAACATACAAAATTCTTCCAAGAAAAAGAAATATAAATTTTTGGATGCTGATTTCAACTAGTGTTCTACATGACTGCTGGTTTACAGGCTGTACTGGACCAGTGGACCGTAAAAGTCATAGAAAGAAAATCTTCACATAAACACACATATTTTCCTAGTCTTCATGATACAAAGCTCAATAGATTAATGAAATAGGATCAGGACACCAAAATAAGGTACACCCTTTCCATCTTCTCCTGAAAAGAAGATGATTGCCAAACAAATGACACTGGATCAAAGCCTGGATGACTAATGCACATAATTTTGGTGAATTTATGTAGTGACAGTGTGGTGGCTGATCAGGTCACAACACATGATCTGACTTCTCAGTCATAAGATCATCAGCATTCTGACACATTTGAGTTGAATGTTTAACAAAAGAAAAGTAAATTCAGGAAATATTCTTAAGAGATGAATGTTAGGTCTACTGCAAAGAATACTGATCTGAATTCCAGGGACAACACTGGATCTCATTTGGGGATGGTAACTATCAGGAGGTCTACTTTAATGTAGTATAGCAAGTATAACACTTTTCCACAAGAGCTCAGTTTTGAGGTCATGCTCCATGATCTGAGAGAGAACTGGAATATTGAAGTATTTCATTCTGGGATTTGTACGAAACTCCCTTTTTTAAACATTCTGATGACTTCCTACTAGAGAGCTGCTTTTTCCTTGGACACGCTTCTAAAAGCGCTCCTAGACGAATTCAAGGCTATGTTCAACTTTAATATGGTTGTTAAATTACACACTTTGTATTAACCAGCAGAACGTGCATCACTTCACTGAAGTATCCATTTTGTATTCAGGGCCCAAATGGATGGATTTCTGTAGTAACAGAATTTATCTGTAGGAGATCGACAATCCAATGCTAGTCAGACAACCAGATTCATTGCCACTCTCTTCTCATCTTTTGTATGGTCCCAGTGGGAAAGATGGGAAGATAACAGAGGTACTGAGTCGCCTTTGGGAGAGGTAATTTGCCACCTTACATCTCAGGTCCCAACACAGAAGCCACAGGATATTTCACTGCTGTTTCCACATGTAAAACAGTCAAATCACAAGCTCAACAATTTGGGGGGGTTGTTTCTCCCCCACACACAATGAATGAGGCTCTTCCTGGTTGCAAGATCCACTGTTTATTCAAACTGCTACCAAGAAAGCTTTGGTGCCCATGCCCCCTTGCTAGACAGTGCCCCCAAAAAGATAAAGAGATTTTACTGAACCCAGGACAGAAGACATTCATTCTTCTTTTTTGATATCATCCATTTCCAAGTTTATTTATGACAATCCCCTCACGTTGACTTCCATAGGCACAAGAAATTTGTTATCCACATTAGGAGCAAAAGTCATTTTGTTCCAGGTAGTTGATGCTGCATTCCACTTCTACAGGTAAATACCTATTTCTTGGATTGAACTGAGAACCAAATGAGCCTGCTCTGTTATCCCAGGCTTGAATGCATCAGGATTGCTCACTGAGAAGATCCCTTCAAAAAGACCCATCCAAAAAAACTGATCCCTTCCCCTCAAGGAAGCCGAAAATTTACAGTGGGTTTTTAATCTCTGTAAATGGACATGATAGGGTGAAATGGAGAGGATAAACAGGGATTATTGGATAAATTTCATGAACTCGTAAGCACTAATGCATGCCTGTTTAAGAGATCAGTATTTTTTACACGCTCCAAGAACTGTATTATCTTTATTTATGACCACCGTAATCTTCTGTTAACATTCTTCTAAGAGGAAAACTTGTACCTGATAGTACTTATCATCAGCCCAAACTCATTGCTCCAGCTCTCTATATTATGGCTCCCTGGCTTCTTTATAATATAACTCTTAGATGCCCCAAAATCTTAACACTATTTGACACTATTTTCTCTTTGCACAGAGACCTGAATGCAAATATTATCCAGGAAGAGATAGATTATTCCAGTTCTTTCTTTGCAGTTTCCATGGTTCATTGTTTTTGTTGGGGGGGGAGAAGTTTAGGAGAGCCCAGCGTCAAAAGAAATTGCTGCTGAAAAAAAGTAGTGTGGTGCATGCAGCAGCAGCGTACACTACCAGAAAGGGAGACTAGTTGGCCAGAACCAGGCTCTGGCTGCTGGCCTGGCTCCAAGTGGCCAGTTCAGTGCCACTGCTGCCCC